CAACTGGTCCGTCGGGTTATAGTCTCCGCAGAAACACTTCCCTTGTGCTTTTGGAAATCAGTTTTTTCCTATTTCCGTTTTCGTTTTTCCTATTTCCGTTGTGTTTTGAGCACTTTTGCAGCTTTTTTCTTATTGCTGGTGTTTTCTTAAGTTGCAGTCCGTTTGGCCTCTCAGAGCCACCGTAGCGAAAACAAAACTAGTGCAGAAGTACTAAAAAATGCAGTTCCTAAACTGGCCACTTGAGGTCTGCTCCGAGAGCATGTCAATCCCCATAGAGTACCATGTTAAAGGGCTCAAATTGATAGCGTTCAGAAGCAGAAAACTAAACACTGGTTTTGAGCATATTCACTGTGCTCAGATGACTCAAATGCAGATTTTGACTGACAACACAAGCCTGTTTAGGCTTCACTAATCCCACTTACTATTCTGATCCTCTTCATCATGTTTCGTACCATCTGGGGCATTTTTAATGGAAGTATCTGCCAAACCATCCAAAAAACTTGTGCTTCAGTCTTGGTGCGTCAAATTCTAGTATTTTATTCGTTTGTTACTTAACGCTAATTAAGATAACTAAAGATAACTAAAATGCTAATTAGCAGATACATGAATCTGTGCAGTTTGATAACTTCTCACTTCACCCTCTGATCTAAATATGGTTAACACAAAATCAGTGTTGATTTTGACAGCAAAGTTTCAACTATAGTTTTAGTCATTATTGAGGCAAATCCTAAATATCATGCAATACAGTGGAGTAAATCTGAAGTATGCTATACATATTTTCCTTGACATCAAATGTTAAATCTGTCCGTGTGTCTACTCTTCTTTCGTCCCAATCGCTGACATTTTGTCACGTTTTTATGAGAAACAGGGAGCATTGGAACTCCCACTGTGGAGATCAAAGTGTGCGCATCTAATCTTATTGCACAAGGAGATTAATTCTGACTGACTCACTTCCAAACTTGTCCCGCCTTTTTACACAACTTAATTAGTTCTGATTGGATATTGTCTAGTAGTTTAGTTATTAGTTTTTTGCTTTGGTATCGTCTTGTTTTCGTCAGGAAAAGAGGTCATTGATGAAAACTATGGAGAAAATTATTAGTCAACAAAATTAACACTGCATTTTGAAGCTAACATGTTAACCATATTAACATCGTACCTTCAAAATGCAAAGTCTAGAATTTTGGCAGTTGACATCATTTATACACAGTCAGTATTTGCCAGCAGTGAAGTAGCCCAAACGGACTATTTGCAGCTTTCTAATATGTTGTGTTATTTAATTTTGTTTACTTTGTTACTGTTATTACTGTCTTGGAGCAACTATGATCACGTAATATCTTGTGGGATTGATAAAGTATTCTGATTCTGATTAAAGCACCAGCACCTGCCTCACCTTTCAGACCCAGAGACTGTGTGTGCATATGCTCATAAACTCACTGTCACTAGGGTTGCAAGCCTGTTGTTTTCTGGTTGAACTGGGCTTCTTTTGACATGTTCCTGCAGTCCGCTGGTTGGATTAGACCCATTGTGCATGAAAATTGCATTCGCGTCTATAAAAAGCAAATGTTTTATTTTACCCAAATCCCACCAAACTGAATCCAAATCAACACGTTAAACCACACTATCACACTTACTGTGCACACACATGCACATAAACACTCCAAGTGAAATGCTCTGTCCTCATTTAGTTATATTACTCCCCACAAAGACTATATAGGAACACTGTATGATTAACATTACACTATGAGAGAGTGAGAATGAGAGTGTTTGCAATGATACCAAATAAAAGCTTTACTTTCTTGTTTCTGGGCAACAAGAGTGGGCGATGTTGAGTTGATTCCTCCAGCACAGTTGTGATGGATTTATATAGCACTTTTCTAGTCCTATTGACCACTCAGAGCACCAAAAGGACGCATCCTTTTAAAAAAGATTTTTTTGATAGAACCTTTTCCTACGACCCCCACTTATTGATTCATTAGAGGTGCTAAAGTTCAGTGTCGTGACCTAGAGCACTTCACATACAGACTGCAGGAGCCAGGGATTGAACTGCTTTCTGATTAGTGGATTGTACTACTTGCCTGCTGTATGGCTCCCAAACCTTTTACTGACTGAAGCATTTTTATGCTGAATGGTAGAACCACAGCCAGATCTAACTGCCGGCTACCATACATGCTTACAAACTTATCAGTGAATCAGCTCATCTTATATAATATTTTCCAGAAATTAGTTTATTATATTTAAAGGCTATTTTACACCTAAACACTGGACAGTTTTTCAGTTTTTGCTCCTACTGAAGCAAATCCCTTCACCATTATATAAAAACTGTATTTTATTTTTTTATTGTTACATTTTAGCCACATAATGTCACCATAGATTTTCTGAGTTTCACATCAACAAACCACAGGCAGTCTAAGCAAAAATATGTTTCGGTATGCAGTGTGTTGTGTTGCTCCTCGATGAACGCGACAGTGGCAACATCTAAAATACTCTGAAGTTGTTTAGAGTGTCCTTTAAACTGTCTATGAAAGAAAGCCTCTTAAAGCATTTACTTGAAGAGCACCTTGGTCTCTTTTTCTTCTTCTTCTTCATTAAGCTGCATATGTATACTCTAAGAAAACCCAGCAGAGGCTTTCTGTCTCCTGTCTTCCTTAAATAATGGAAATCACATTAAGAGAAGGATGTGGGCTGTTCTCATACCTTACATCAGCCTGAATTTGCCTTATTTGCATCCATTTATACTTCGTTGAGATTTTAATTAGGGTACGTGCCACGGACAGACAAAAAGAATGTGCATAAATGAAGCTGGGAAGGGTTTATCATCCACTGCTCAAACATACCCTCAAAGCTTTAAAGTTTTCAAACGTAAACATCTTCTGCCCAGTCCTGATATAGGCAATAAAGAGAGAAGGCCAGTGTACCTCCTGACCTCATTATGCCAGCGGAAGGCGAGCTGCTCTTTGTTCTCTCTGCTGCCTGTGACACTGCTTTCCCTCCTCCTGCTTGACTCTCTTCCTCTCTTTCCTCTCTCGTGCTAACAAGCTGCCTTTTTCCTGAGATAAGGCCAGCAGATTGAGCAGTCTTACTCAGTTCCAGTTCTGCAACAGCAGCAGAATAATTTCTTATTTATTTTGTACAGGCTATAAAATTGTGCTTGAATTAGATTTTCTTATTTTTACGCTGTTACTTTGAGCTTCAGTTGTGATTATTGCTGTTGTAACTATGACTTAATGTGTAGTTCTTGTCCATTTGACTTGTGCTGAGTTTGATCTTTTCTTGATTTTTATCATTACACAGAGCCTATATATATGTTTGCGTGTGTCAGTGAGTGCATGTGCAGTGTGCACGGGTGTAATCCAGCAGCTGCTCCAGCCTCAGGAGAGCCCGAGACAGAGGAGTGAGGGAAATGAAAGTGGAGGGATGATAGCGGAGGGGCGCCCTCAGAGAGCCAGGGATCATTGATGGGGCTCTCTGGAGAAGAGAACAAACAAACTTTAAATCAGAAAGGATGAGAGGGGCCATGGCCTGCAGAAATGGAACCCTCTGCTGAGTGTGTGCGCTGTATGAGTGTGTGTGCTTGTGCACACTTTTGTGTCTGCCTGTAAAGCCCATTCAGCTTACCATGAAAAGTTTTGGAGTCTGGGTATAGTCACGTACATAAATGAAATCTGGGCTTATGGTACAGTATAACCAAGGTTTTTCCAGGGCTGTAAAGAGGCTTATAGGTAGTTATGTCGCCAGCAGAGTTTGCTGTGCTCGGGAAACGGTGCCAGAGACTCTCAAGAGTGCACAACAAGCTTTGAGAGGGAAGATAAGGCAGCTGGAATCCATTCAGAAGCCATAAGCAAAGCTTAGATTCACTAAACATTGTACCCAACAGTTTTGGTTGGCGCATTTTCCTTTAGGTAGGTACAAAAACCTTTCTGCTAAGGGATTCATGGGTTTATTCATGTGCTGAGGGGAATGTAACATTAACACAGTGCGCATTACACACTTCTATGCATTACTATGTAACATAATTTACAAGTCATCCTTGCTGCCTTGTACATGTGACAGATCAAGTTAAAGTATAAATGGCTGCTCTCGTGAGCTTACTCCTAAAATGAAGATACAGTCACCTTTTAGTCCCTGAAGACTCTGAAAAGAAATCATGTGTGAGGGGGCAAGATGTTCAGAAGGAATTCAACAAAAAATACCGAAACACTCACACACATAGTACCACATTTTGCCACTGTGCAGAAAGCTTTGGGTTTGTGCTACAACCCCTCAGGTTCGTTTGTTGTCCGGAGAGTCTTATAATTAACCAGACCAATGCCTGCTGGGAAGTGAGAAGCTAATAAGAGACATTAGAGGTGGCTGGTTTGTTGGAGGTGTCAGGTAAAACAATTATCCTCACATATATCATGACTTTAAGAAGCACACACAAATGCAAGGAACCAAACACACAGACAGACGTGCATGGAGATGGAATGATAAAAACAAAAATGCAGATGCAAACGTGACAGCGATTTCCTCTAACTAAATAAAGTGCACACGTCTCTGCTTAGATCAAGTGCTTTGTCTGAAAGGAGTCAAAAAGAAATGATTATTTTTTCATATGCTGTTTGCTTTTTTTAATTTCCCTCCATGCACACCATCACGAGAACAAGAGTCGCCTCTGTGACAGAGTTAATGAGGGCGCTGGGCTGAGAATAAAAGCAAAATATCACTAAAAAGTGTTTACTTATGAATCAAAGACTGAGACTGGAATAAATCAAGGAGTTTAAACAAAAGTAAATTATTCAGCAGATCTGTTTAATCCTCAGAAAAGCTGGCCCGTATTTGATTGTTATTTGCGGCGCAAATGTGTTTGAATTTCGACTCGATTATTTTCAACAACAAATGCCAAAACACCAACAAAATCTCCCTTACAGTCGATGAATTTCAAGCAAATAATCCCCCCACCCTTTTTTCCCCTCCTTCTCTCTCTCTCTTTCTCTCTCTCTCTCTCTCTCTCTCTCTCACAGCATCATACCAAGTGAAGCAGGGGACATGTGAGGTGGTGGCGGTGCATCGCTGCTGTAATAAGAATAAGATTGAGGAGCGCTCTCAAACCGTCAAGTGTTCCTGTTTCCCGGGGCAGGTCGCTGGCACGACCAGAGCCAGACCCTCCTGTGTGGAAGGTAAAACTACGTGTGAGTGTTAGTGTGAGTGTGTATATCAGGCCAAGCGTCTCTTCCAGTGGTTCCTCATTTATACAAAACAAAACCCGATGTGAGAATCTCTTGAAATGAAGTAGAATTAGTGATTCTAGTGGAGCTGATCACCGACCAACAGCCTGAGTGGATGTTTGGGCTGAAAATCAGCCCCGTCTTCTAACAGCGCACAGGCCTGAATTTGTTGGGCATCGTTGCTTTGTGAAACACATAAACAAGTAGGGTGTGCTTTCGGTTTCTGTGTTTTGTGCATCATATTGCAGACATCTCCCCCACAACACTGCAGCAGAGTCTCTCCATTTCTGCCAGATCTTTTTGGTATCTGTTGGAAACCTTTGCGAGCGTGACTGGAATTCCAAATGAAGATTTTGCAGGTTTGGACAGTGCTTCGCTGCACAACATGTTTTTGTAATAATTGACACGCTGCTGAATCCGGCGGGGTCACGAAGGCTAAAAATGGTTTTAATTATCTTGCATCATTAAAGTTTCTACATGAAACTTCTCACCTAAAACAAATCATTACTAGATTCATTTTGGAGATATTAGAAACGTAAATAGATGAGTTTAAATTTGCTGCCAGGTTGGATTCTGTCTGAAAATGACTTTTTTTTAATGGCACACTGCTGCTGGATTGAAAATGTATTTTCAGTTTATTTCCCTATAATAGAAGGAGTGAGATTGAGAGTGAATTCACACCATTGTCTTTACTTAAATTAAGATAGGATGTTTACTGGAAAATGAATGTAAAGCACCTTTAAGTGGGTCTTGAGTAATAGGATTTTTAATGTGTTAAAGTAAACCTGGATATATCTCGGTCCTCTTTCACCAGCGGTTTGGGGTTCATTGCATCCCAAGGAGATAACATGAAAAGTTAAAGCCACTAATGTCGGTAATGTTTCTCCTTGCCTTGCTAATTCCCCCATGCCATATGAAAGGAGAATCAAAGATATGACATCAGATTGGATACTTAAGCTGCGGTTTTAAAGGAATGCTGGTATATGGGACAGCTTAACGTTTCATATCCAGTCAGGCCGCGCGAGTATTTGACAGATGGTGATAGAGAAAGTATTTTCTTTGCATGTTTTTATGGGTTCAGACAGAACATTTGGGTGATTAGCGAGAGGAATGTTTTTATAAACAAATAAAAGCATGACATCAAACCCTTATGTTGGTTATGATTTTCAAGTCAACAGTTAAATAAAAATGTTGGATTCTGAAAAACGACAACAACAAAAATATCATCAAGCTAATTAATCATCCACAGACTTTCGCTCAGATACACAAATGTGTCTGTTTATACATGCTGAGTGTGCGGCTAGTAGCGAAGATGGACAGACGAAAGCTGAGGGTCGTTTTCATAGACCTCTGTTGCACCCGTTTGTCCGCATCGAGAGCTGCTGCCCAGCAAGAAACAAGCAGTGTCACTGACCCCTATCATCCGCAGACGCTCCGCTGAGATCAGACACACACACACTGTGTCAGCCAACCTCATCCAATCGCACTGTATTAGCCCCCTACCAGAAGAAAATACACAGTTGTTCAATACGTGAGCGGAGACACTACCTCTCCAAAGCATGAGGGTTATTCATACTGTTAACGTCACCTCGGGAAGGGGACTGGAAGCTGATTCCACACTTGCAAACAAATAAGTAATGAATCTACACAAATAGAGTCTTTGATGTGAGATCTGTGGGCAAACTTGAAGTGATGTCTCTTTTTTTTCTGTTTCAGATTTGGAGCTAGATCAGATTTCACAGCGTTTGGTTTATTTTCCATGAAAAATAGCGTGTTAGCCCCATTATCACTCTAATGCTGTAAATGAATGATATGGTAATTATCAAGAAGGGTAAAAAACGAGCCAAAACAAATCTCATTCACCCCGGCTCGCTGTTTGTTGACGTCTATTGACAGACAGTGCAGCACACAAACAAGAACTACTCACAGTCATTTAGTTTGGCAAATGGCAACTTCTTATTAAAATGCACATTATTTTTGACACTTGGTTCCCAATCCTACAGCTGTGCTATTGCTACATACAATCGGCTTTAATACAACTTCCCATTTTCATTTGAGTCTTCGTTTTATCTGACTTTGCAAATGCCCGCACGCTTTCCACCTTTACTAGTCAGGGCTGTGCACACACTGCCAGTCTGTGCCAACCTCCAGGCACTGAGTTGCTATTGCTGCGCGTGACCAGTAGACGGTGCTTTCCCCATTGAAATAACTTTAGTAACAAGCATACCTGCTGGTTCATTTCAGCACCATTTTCACCCAATAAAAAAGTAGATTTGTTTTTTAACCTCTTTGATGAGTTCCAAGATGGGAACTATTGCTTGATAATGATAAAACCAGGCAACCATAGCAAAGATGATTGGCTTTGTAATGAAAGCCAGGATAAACAAGGAATCACGTGAAACTTTGCTAACCCTTCAGAGCAGGCACTGCACTGATTCCTTGCTTTTATTTGTTTACTTCAAAGACGTGGTCTCGTTTGCTAAAAGGAGGAGTGACACTAATGAGAACCTAATGCACTCTGCGTGTGATTGAGAGTTAGTGATGGATTCTTTTTGATGGTCTTAATCACTTTTTTCGACTCACACGCACGCACAGACTGCGTGGTTCTGCCGTCACACCGGTCACGAGGCTTTCTAATTTTCTATTCAGATCTCACCTCGGACTCTCACCTCCTCTCACTTCCAAATCCAGTGCTCAGCAGCACTTATCTCATGAGTCAGGCTTGACCTCTGAGTTCACAGTTCCAAAAGATCTCACCTCATCCAGGGTTTTCTTACGCACACAAACACACCTCAGTGCACGCACACATCCACGCGTGCTTCTCTCTCCCCTTTTTTTTGGCTGGAGCACTGATGGAAAGAGACAACCCCCTCTCAGCAGGTAGCCTTTGTAGAAAAGCCATAGTGTAAATGGAGTTACATTATTGATGCTGGCTGAAAGAGGAGTTAATGGTGAGAGGTCCCATTACTGGGCTGCTGCACTGCATGGTGGGATACGCTTTTTCAAGTGAACTCTATTCATCACAACAACCCTGAAACCCACTTCTGTATTGGCTTCTTTTCTTTTTCTTCTCTGTTGGAATTAGCGCTGGTGGCGTGTGAGAATAAAGGGTTTGTCCTGCAAAAAGTAAGGTCATTTGGAGAAGTCTAAATCTGCGCGTGAAGAGTTTGCAGAGGTAGAATTGTTAACCGGAAAAAAAATAGAAGTCAAGCGGTGAAGCTCTTTTCGGGCTAACGCTGTAGGAGAAATGCACCCTGTCCACTTCTGAGTGGCTCACATATATTTTATATTTATATATCCTAAAAAACAAACAAAACAGGTCGATGTCAAGAAAAGAAGTGCAGTAGCAGAGTTATGTTATGGAAATGTTTTCCTTGGTGTCACACTACGCTAATCTATCTTTGAAGGACAGGAACAAACTGTTGCAAATTGTGAACAGTAACAGCAGCTTAGCCCAGAGCCTCTTTATACCAGACAGCTACAGAGGATGATCAGTTCCATCGTAAATGCTGACGGCCACCCCTTAGTTGACGAGGTTAGCAGTCCCTAAATGCAGGACAAAGCTGTAAAGAAACAGCTTTGTCCCATGTTGCTATTCTTTATCTGAATAAGTAATATCGGTTCCATTGATTTTTAATTTGTGATTTATTATGATATTGTTTTTAGCTTCTTGGCCTTTTTTTTATTGTATTTATTAGTCTGAAGGTTTGCAGTTGGGGTTGTAGTGAAGCCTGGAGCCCTCTCTCTTTTCTCTCTTTTATTTTTCTCACCATGTGTTTGTGAATATTGTCCAGGGTCTGTGTTTGATGTCTGGTAGAAGGGTTGTCTGCTCTTTTAACTGCAAAACAAATATGCCTAGAGGTGCCAATAAAGGAACCTTGAACCTGAAGATTGACCAGATTCACTAGATGTAAAGGTCCCAATTGTGAACACTATCACACAGTGTGAATTTATTGATGTAAGCAGCAATTGTAACAATATGTCATAATAAATAAACCTCTGCACTTGTATCATCAGAGTAGCACCGGCATCCATCTGATCTGCTTTCTCTGGAGTACACTTCTGTACAAAAGCAGAAAGTTGCTCATAAAGTGAACTGAACTGCATGTTTTTACGGTGATTTTTTTGGGTACCAGACAAAATGACTTTAAATCTTTTCACAGTCACTGTCATTAAAGTATGTTTGGCGGTGGGGGACGAGAGAGAGCACGGCGACCTGATAAAAACGGTGGCTGAGTGAATTTTGCTCGCTGTGTGATATGGTGACAGCCAAACTGTGTTTCATTGCTGGGCCAAGAAATTTAGTTAAGTGTTTCAGCACACATCAACCTGCTGTTGTTTACAATAATATCTGCTCCTTAATGTCATGCTTTTGAAATTTTGCCAATCTGTTCTGGTGTATGTGCATAACCATAAACCGCGTGCAGTCTTTGTCTGACAGTTATACCGATGTGCTTTTCACTTTTTTGCTTCTTCTTCTTGTTTTTTGTCCACATACCTGGGTGTGCTGGCATGGATGTGCGAGCTGGGGCAATGGAGATAAAGTGTGTTAGTAAATCATTGTAGAAAGAGATGGATGCCGCTCTCCAACTGCTTCTGCACTTCAGGATCACTGAGTGGAACTGTTACAAAGCCTGGGAGCATTCATATATCTGGGTCCACCTCCAAACTGCCTATGGGTGTGTATGGGTTTGAGTACATGGAGGTGCATCATATTCCCTTTAAATAGTGATGACCTCGGAGCAAGGGCACAGGAATGCTCTGATTGTGCATTATAGCTTACACTTACTGCACATTTGGGACTGTATAGATGGACACATGAAAACCACATTACATCTATAGTGCTCAACAGACATGTGCGCACATATAAATGTGTAAGCACCCAGACACAGACACAAAGAAACCCTCCTCTGCTGTAGTGTATATATTCAGCTGCTCCATCATGTGAGTTC